CAGCTACACAAGGAGAGTGTCATGGGGAGTGTATAGAAGGCAGAGGGGAGACAGCTCATTGGGACCTCACTGAAACAGCAGCAGCCTTCCCTGTTGTCTTCCTTTTCACTGTCAGGGAGGTCTAGAAGGACCCTCTAAGTTGATATGTGTGGAGCCCTATGTCACCCTGCCTTATGAAGGAGTCTCACAGCCATAGGGGATGTCGTGACACAGAAGTCACTAGATATGATGGATACAGTGTAAAAGGCGTGGTCAGGGCTGGAGAGATGGCTCGGTGGTTAAGAGCACTGGCTGCTCTTCCAGAGGTCCTGGGTTCAATTCCCAGGACCCACATGGCAGCTCACAACTGTCTGTAACCTCAGTTCTAGGGGTCTCCACACCCTTACACAGACATACATGGAATACGTGCAGGTAAAATACCAATGCATATAAAATAAAAATAAATGAATTAAAAAAAAGGCGTGGTCAACAGGCACAGGAGCTCCCGGAGAGAGTGGTTTGGACCTGGAAAGGGCCAGTGGTAAGAACGCACTCATCTCTGACCAGTTTCCTCTCACTGACCCCTGACTCCACCCTCAGGGGATACAGAGCACTGGCCATGCCGTGTTCATCCTAGGGTCCTACAGGTGTTGGTGTTTATGTCGGTGAAGAGGAAATCAGACTCCTAACTCCCATCAAGGCTTGGATTTTAGAACACATGTGGGGAGAAATGTGGTCAGGAGATTGGGAGGCGTGATTTAGAAGCAGCAGCAGGATTTAGTCAACCAACTAGGAACTCATGATGGAACCAAAGGAGTAGAGGTGGAGGAGGTTAGGTTCCCAGGAGCATCTGATATTGGTTTGTACTTATGCCTGTGTGGCATGTGTGTGTGCCTGTGTAGCATGTGTAAAATACATGTGGTATGTGCATGTAGACTATATGGTGTGTGGGTATGTGTGTAGACCATGTGGTGAGTCTGGACACATATGTGTGGGGAATGTTTTTGCATGTGGTGTGTGGACACACGGCATGGGCACATATGTGTGGCACATGCTGGTAGTTGTTTGTGTGTCTGTAGAGGGTAGATTCCTTTTTCACTTATGAAGTATGAAGGACTGGCTGGAGTAAGCCATGGTAGGGGGTGATGCTTACACTTCACAGTTGACTCCCATCAATGTTTGGCTCCAGCAGGATGGAACTTTGAACACTAGGGGATGAGCTGCTTAACACAGAGGTTAAGAACAGGATGGATGTGAAAATGATATTGAACGTCCAGGCAGGAAATGAGCCATGGCTTCCCAGAGAAGACTTTGTGAAGGGAGCAGGGTGCTGGGGAGCAAAGAGGATCTTCTCTCAGTGCACAGGATCCTGGGAGCTGTGGAAGTGCTGGTTGCACTCTTCCTGTGACAGGAGGTAACAGGCAGCAGGAGATGAGGGCAGAACACAGGTTTCAGGGAAGGTCACTCAGGAAGGCAGAGGACAGACGGTGATAGGGTAGGGAACTTGATCTTTGCAAAGAACAGGTAGGGTGTGGGAAAGGCTGGAATTGATGTGCAGAGGTGACAGGGAGTGATCCAGAGAACTGTGTGAGCATTCTCAAGCTCCTGAGAGTGTAGTCTTTCTGAAGCTACGTGCATAGCCACACACACACCGGTCTCACCCTAGCTACAGATGGGCCATTTACTACCACATACCAAGGAGTGACTGCTTCACTTAACTAAGAAAAATAATGATCATGTAACTAAAATAGAGTGCTGATCTGTGTGCAAAAACTAAAATTGGGTGCTGGTGTTACAACAGCTGTGTCTTTCTGAGTACCAAATGTTGAGGGTGGATGTGCCAGTTCCAGCAAGAGTGACCACTCTAGCCTGCCTCATTTGTTCACAAACTGATCTAGCCACTATCATAAGGCTGCCTACTATGGACAGTAAGAGCTACTAGTACCTGTCTTTGACCAAATCCCTGTTCTCCACACCTCCAACAATGTGCTTGGATGGAAGAGAAGGACATTTCTCTCTCTCTCTCTCTCTCTCTCTCTCTCTCTCTCTTTCTTCCTTCTCCTCCTCCTCCTACCACTGCTACATCATGCACGCATGCATGCACACACACTGGTTGCTTCCTGGCATGTTGTTACAGATGTTCTGAACAACACCTTGCCTCTTTACATGGCTTGAAGTCTCTACCCAATTTTAAACCTGTGTCTCTTGTTCAGGGTCCTCCCATGTGGGGGTCATTCCAGTAGGTGACCTCCAGGACTTCTCCCACAGATTCTGTCTTGCCTGTTCTTTAATAATGGCTTGGACTATATGGGGAGAGAGAGGTTACTGACAAGCATACAGGCAGGCTATTATAACAGGTAAGCTATTCAGGGTTGGAGTAGAGAAGTATCCAGAGTCATAGCCCTCTGGATCTGGTCAGGTCCAGGAGACTGTGCTGTGTGCACCCTCAAACAAAACCTGCAGGGAAGCCAGGAAAGTTATTTCTAAATGTCAAAGAGGAACATAACATTCACGTTTCTTTAACTCTTAAAGCACTAGGTGTATTTTTGTGTGTGTGTGTGAAATGTTTTGCCTGCATGCATGTATGCTCAACACACACATGACTGGTGCCCAAGGAGATCAGAAGGCAGGATGATACCCCCTGGGATTGGAGTTACTGTGTGGGTGCTGGGAACCAATTCCAGTTCTGTATGTCACTTAGACCCTGCTGTCAGCAGAAAGTGGCAACTGTGCTGTCAGTGGCTGTGTCTGGGTCACTGCCGGGAGTGTCTGTGAGGGGTTCCCAGAGAGGTTTTAACTAAGGGAGGAGGATACACCCTGAATATGAGCAGTGCCATCTCACAGCCAGGACTGAGTGAAACGGAAGAAAGTCAGAAAACAAGCCAAGCGCCATCAAACATTTCTCAGCTTCATGACAGGGCACAATGTGACCAGCTGCCTTAAGCCCCTGCATGGCTCCTACTACCATGTCTTTCTTTGCCATATGGACTATATCCCTCAAATTAACCTGAATAAACCCTTCCTTATTTAAATTGGTTTTGTCAGGGTTTTGTTCACATCAGTGAGCCAGGCAACTAGTACAGGGGGCAACTTTATCCCAGATTTTGACTTCTAAAAGGAGATGTGACCTCCTTTGGTGCCTATGCCTTTCCTGCTTCCACCACAATCCATCCTGACAAGCAGGTGGTTTGCTGCAACAGGTGAGTCCTCTTAGAGTATGGAGAGGTAGAGAGAGCTCCTGGAAGTCCCTGACTGATGTCCCGTTCAGAAAAGGTCTGGATCCAAATAGGTGTTCTTGGGGATGTTATAGCTTCCCATCAGTCTAGAACTGGACCTGTTTGAGATCACTTCCGGAATAGCCATTGGGTACTAGGATCTCAGGAGCTGAGTTTTTACCCATGGCTATGGAAACGGATGTGTTCAGACTGGACAACACTAGGTGTTCTGGGGGTGTGCTGGGGCACATTGGGGGGGGGGGCGAAGAGAAGGGATAGAACCAGGAAGGTAGTGTCTGGAGACAACCTCGATGAATCAAAACCACAGCTGCTTTGTGGTTCATTTCTGGATACAGCAACCCTCCCTTGGCATTTATGAATGGGTCCTTGAAAACCTTCAAAGGGTCTCTTGCTAGACTTAGGCTGTGCAGCAGTAGCCAGTATCCCCCAGAGTCCAAGTCTAACTCTTTCAAGGGAAAAGCTTGTCTAGAAGCAAAGTCAAGAAGCACAAGGCTGAGGGTGCAGGGTAGACGCTTGGTTGAAGCCTCCACACTTGCATGCCCACCACAGTCTCCGGCCAGTTTGAAAGACATGAAGGCCTGACTTAGACTTCTATGTATCCCATCCTTCAGTGTTTTTATTGAGGCTTGAGTAAATTCCTTTTAGTGACACATGATGACTGGCTGCAGGTAGTTGCTGACCTTCTTCCCTGAACCTGGGTCAGCTTCCGGACTTCCAGGGGGCTCATATTTAGTCCTATCAGGCCACTTACACCATGAACAATATCCTCTAGGCTATCCCAATGTCATTCAAGGACTCCAACATGCAGCCTTTTAAAACATCTGGTGGATTTGTGTGTGTGTGTGTGTGTGTGTGTGTGTGTGTGTGTGTGTGTGTGTGTGTATGTCACATGTGTATAGTGCCTCAAAAGTCCAGAAGAGAGCATCAGATCCCCCAGAACTGTAACTACAGGCAGTGGAGAGCCAACCGATGTTAACGCTGGGAACTGAACTTGGGTCCTTTGGGAGAAGGAAACACTATTTGCCCGCTAAGCCGTCTTTCCAGACTCACAACATGCAGACCTGTGACAGTGCTACTTGCTTAACACCATCTTTTTGTTCCTCACTCTCTCAGGCTGTGGAAGTGGTTGTATGGTTCAGGGTGGCAGCTTCTGTTTCTGGCACCAACCTTGTCTTATGGGAACTCTCTGCTCTCCAGGCCATAGCCTCCCGAGTCCAGCAAGCACAAGAGACACTGAGACAGATGCATAATGCGTTTTTGATGGAGAAGCACAGATGCTTGGAGGGATCAAGGACAGAGAAATTCTTGCAATTAGGTCAATTGTTCATAAGTATGCAGCTGGAAGCACAGTGAGCCTCAGGGAAAGCTCTGTGGTTCAAGGCCAGTTGGACAGTAGGTCAGGCCGCCTGCCCAGTTACATGACTTAGTTCATACCAGGCTAAATAGGTCTAGGGCCTTCCTCCTATGGCTCCAAACCATGTTGAAGAATGGGTGACACACACATACACAAGGCTTTAGAGAGTGGTGTGGGTCCTTCCAGGGCTTCCTACCCATCTTATTGATGGGGGATGTCCTTCTGTATATGTTTCTCTTATTGGTTGATGAATAAAACACTGTTTGGCCAATGAGGTAGAAAGATAGTAAGGACCAGGAGATGAAGAGGATTCTGGAAAAGGTAGGCAGGAGCCAGAGTTTCGGTGCTGCTGGAGGAGTAACACCATGATGGGCATTACCAGGTAAGCCACAGCCTTGTGGCAGTACATAGATTGATAGAAATGGGTAATAATTAAGGCAGAGCTAGCCAATAAGAAGCCCTAGTCATTGGCCAGCAGTATTATAATTAATATAAGTCTCTGAGTGTTCATTTGGGGCAAGGCAGCTGTGGAATCAGGCGAGAAATTCACATAACACCCATCAGAGAGTGCCTTGGAAGTAGGAACTGTAATTTCTCCCAAACACCTCCTTTCTCTGGGATCCATTATAGGAGTGGTATAAGAGCACCAAGACTCAGGTGCTAGAGCCACTTACCGAGTTCTCAAGTGTTGATGGTTCTGGAGACTATGTTCTCTCCATTTATTACTCTGTTTCCCCCTGAATAGCAGCAGATCAGCTCCTCACAACAAACCTGGGGGCCAGAACCTAAGTTTGGGGTCAGGTTGAGGAGCCTGAGGCTTCTCTGCTCAGCAGGGTGGAGCATGTACTTGGCAACTGATGGCCAGTGATGTCTGCAGGTGGATGGACCAAGAGTGATGCCCAGCTGATAGTGGTATACACAACTATAGGTGCCTGGTCCTGGACTCTAGGCTGGTTCACAATTGGGGGAATGTCTATGTCCAAACCTGTATAGCCACGCCTTCATGAACAACCCCACACAAATATGTTTTTACATGTTCAAGGTTCTTTCAGAATCAATTCACAGAGGTAGAACATCTGGGAAATTTCCGTGTGTCTCTTAGAATCTGATGGATGGAGGCATATTTTCTTCCTTGGGAAGGGATGAAATGCAGGAGAGAGCCAGCTTGAATCTGTGCCCCATGGATCCAGTCTTTGTGGGGCATACAGTGGCTTTGTGTGGTTGGTTAGGTGTCTTTTCATATGCACAGGCATCTTGTTCTTAATCTTCCATGAATTGTTGAGCTCCTTTTCTTTTTTCCCCCTAGGCAGAAATATTTTTAATATGTGGAATAGTATCTATTATTATTGTAGCTTCCTGCTGTATTATACTTGGACTGCTATGTTTATGCATAATAAAAAAAAACTTCTGCCAGGTTCTTTTATAGTACACTTTGTTGTTACCTGCCCCCACTGCATCCTTAATATTTAAATCTCTGATCTGCCTGTAATTATTTCTAGGTCAATTCAGACAAGCTTTGTCATATTTTCAGGAAATTATCAGCTCAACATCATTGAAGGAAAATCCTGCAGTATTTTAAATATCTTTTCATATACTTGGAAAATTTAGTATTTTCTAGCACTTCAGAGAAAGTTAATATCAGATAGTATGAATTCCTCTATTACATTTCACCACCTTTTATAGTGCTTTCATATTTATTCTTGGACATTTCTTCACAGAGACTTAGATTTAAGCTGGTTGCTTATAAAAACACAATTATCCAGATTACACTAGATATGCCAAAGGACCTTGAAAAAATGTTAAGTTTTAACATTTCTCATCTCTGTGTGTCCCTTAGAGACACTTCAAAGCCTGGTTTCTGGGTCTCCAACACTTCTTAGCCCTATTCTCAGAGTCTTATTTTTTTCAAGATCAATGGGTCTTCCATTCTAGAGCCAGAAGACTACTGACGTTTCTATTCCAATTTTATGCCTAGCCAATCTCTCATGTTTTGTTCAGCTGCCTCCCTGGAATTATCCAGATAGTAAAATAATCTTCAAATAGCCTTCACTTTTTCTCCTTTCCACCTTTGTACTTTCTTCACCTGTGACTTATTTTTCTACCAGTGAGAACACACCAGTGTCCCTGTCATAAGACAGTATACACCAGGGATCCCACAGTACTTCCTCAGCAGTAATTTAAGAGAGAGGCGGGTGGGCTCTGAATCTCACCTGTTTGTCAGTGCCTAACTTTAAATGCTCATGCTGTTCTTGTTTGTTCTGTTAAGTGGTGATTCTACAAGCCTTTACGCTTAGGCTGCCTAGTTCTCAGCTCTGAGATGTAGTTCACCAAGGTCTTATGCAGGATTTTACGTGGCTATTGCGACATCAGCATTTAGAACAGTGGTTCTCAACCTTCCTACTGCTTTGACCCTTTAATACCATTCTTCATGTTGTGGTGAAGCCAGCCACAAAATTAATGTTCTTTGTGATTTCATAACTGTAGTTTTGCTACTGTTATGAACTGTGATGTAAATATCTGATATGCAGGATGATGGTCTTAGGTGACTCCTATGAAAGGGTCACTCAAAATCAAAGGGATTTCGACCCACAGGTTGAGAAACATTGTTTTAGAAACTGTCTTCTTACATTTAGGTAGAAATGCCATGCTATCTCTGTAAGGAAACTTGAGTCTTTTTGTCTGTGTCAGGGTGGAGTCAGAGAAAGTAGCAACATGAAAACTGACATTTCGCTTTCCTTACGCTGATAGTCTGAAAGTGGGTATCTATCTATCTATCTATCTATCTATCTATCTATCTATCTATCTATCTATCTATCTATCATTTTTAAATACAGGGTTTCATGCAAACCAGGCTGGCCTCAAACTTACTATATAGCTATGGATGACCTTGAAGTTCTTGTCCTTGGAGATGGGTCTTTTATGGACACCTATGGAAATTAAAGTGTAAATGAGATGAAGAAATCGGTCTCAATCTCAGTTATGCATCATATGTAAAGTAGGAGTTGGTGAAAATTCCAAGTTTGACTTACTTCTCACAGCCATTTGGTGCCCAACACATTTGTCTTTTGGAAGTTGTTTAAAGATCATATTTTAATCTTATTTTAATGATGCTACTTAGGTTCAAGAGTTGCAATAAGTGATTGACTGGGTGAGGGGCAGTCTTTAGGGAGGTTGCTTGGCATATTAGAAAACAAGCTTCTTACAGGCTCAACTAGGCATTGATCAGACATTTGGCCATGGAAGAGGGAGTATTAAGGACATGAAGGCTGGTGCTAAGGTCAGAAGGGGTCCTTTGGCCTTGGAGGACTCAGGAAGCAGGATAGAGGGCAGGCCCCTGCTAAACTAGGGAAGGGCTAATTGGTAAGACAGCCTTTGAGTCCCAGGCCCGGGGCCCTGACTGAGGTCTGCACATTTTCTAATGCCACAGAGAAGCTTTTAAAAATAGATTTATTAAGATTCTGAAAGTTATGACCACCCCAGACACATTGGCCGGGGAGTTTTTGGAAGGCCTTCAAGAGTGTGAGGGTATGGGCTGTGAGGGGGTGATGCCATTCCAATCTGACTTCTCCTTGTCCCAAATGGAAACTTACAGGGATGCTGGCTCCCTGAGAACATATGGAAGACACTGTTCCTTTGCCAGTGACAAAGAGGCTCCAGAGACCCCCAGCAGAGCTTGGATGAGGCTGTAGTCCCAGCTATGTGGGAAGCTGGGCAATTAGATCACAGCTGTCCAGTCTTCCCTTCTGATGGGGATGCCAACACATTTGCCCATTGTGATGAAGCACTAAAGTGTGGTCTCTGTGGTCATAGCTCCCTTTTCAAATGACCTCCATGTGCTTAAATGTACCCCTAGGATCCTACATGTTGGCCAGTTTGCTACCAGACTGAGCAATGGCAGAAGAAAATGGACTTGAGACTTTGTGACCCTGGATCCCCAAATTTCTAATGAAGAGAACAGAGCCCATTCTGACCCTGACCTTGTGCTAAGGTGACTGTCCTATGCTGGGATGGCTGGGATGGGAGTGTGAATGGGGACAGCTTGTTAAAAGGTGATTCCTATTTTCTGACCCTTGCCAGAGACCTGGAACTCCCTACTGGGGCCACGACAGAGCTCCCTCCACCATCTGAACTAAGCAAGAGATGTTTCTCAGGACCGATTGTTGTCAATAACAGCTTGTTTCTTCCCCCCTCACACCAGCTCCAACAGGGTGGGGGAGGACAGATGTCCCATCATGAGGCAGAGCTGGGGCTCCACAGACACCAGCTTTTGAGATGGAGTCTGTGCTGGAGCCAGGCCCGGTGAGCCCTGGGAAAGAGACAGATCCTTGCTTTGGATTCATCAGCCGCACCCCAGCTGTGCCTGTAGTGGGGGCCCGGCAGTGGGTGGGAGTGCTGGGGAGAGCAGACAGGAATGCCTAGGGAACTCCCCCCCTCCATGCTGTCCCCCTTTGCCTGGCCTCTCAGCTCACACTTCCCTCTAGTCTGCCCCCTTCCCCTCTGCCTCCCCCTAGTCCCATTCCAGAGCACAGATAAAAGTGGAACCTGAGCAGCAAATGTTTGTGGTGTTGCGCCAGTCAAGGGTCTCATCTCCAAGGTAACGGGCACACTTCACAGCCCTGTGAACAGATGGTCAGTGAGCAACAGGCAGCATATGTTCCCGTGAGCCCTGACACAGGCACAGATGGAGGGTGGGCAGGAGGTGGGCCTGGGACATAACCTGACATTTCCTTCTCCCCCTTCTCCTTGGGGTGCATTGTCAGAGGGCACTGACTGAAGTTAGTGTTCTGGGGCTGCTGTGTGGTACTAACACCACAGTGCGGCTTCGGTCTTGCTTAACCAGAGACCACATCGGGAGCCACGGGAACCACCCAGCCTCATTTAGCAGCTGTTGCCTTGCCTGTCTGCATTTTCAGCTTCCAGTTTATATGGCTGTTTACAGCAGAAACCACACTTCGGCCTTTGTAAACGGGATCAAAGGAGAAATAACGATGTCCTGAGAGGTATCGAGAACTTAAAAGTTGGAAGTGAGCTTTCATACTTGCTGAACTCTGGCTAGTGTGACACAGTGACCTCAGTTTCCTGTGGCTTGGATATTCTCTGTGGTGGATCGACTTTGTCAAAGGCCAAACGAGATGTCAAATATTGCTCTCCACCATCTTGAACATGGGATTTACTCAAGGGGTCTTGGTGAAAATAGTCAGTAATACAGACACTGTTACAGAGCTATCTCATACTGGCTGTATCTGTTAATCCCACAAGGATACATCTTCAGCCACCAGTCAGCCAGCTCCAAAAAGGCTGTGTGGACACTGGGCTAAGAGTCTATATGTATTCAGCAGGGTGGGTGAAGGGTTGGGCATGGGCTCAGCAGCCACCAGAGGCTGAATACTTTGTCCCTAGGCTCATGACTGCAGTGTCTGCTGGTCCCTGGACCCAAAAGTGCTCAGTGGGCAGAGTCCTTATGACTTCATTCTGTCCCTGACCTATTGTAACATTGACTGGATTCATGAATTCCCTGCTCTTTTGAAAGCAATAACTATACGACTTGTTCTCTGTAGACCCTGGAATATTAGTTAGGGTTACTATTGCTATGATGAAACACCATGACCAAAAGCAACTTGGGGAGGAAAGGGTTTATTTGACTTACATAACCCGAATGAATCGCAGTCCATTGAGGGAAACCAAGGCAGGACTTGAACCAGGTGGGTACCTGGAGGTTGGAACTGAAGCAGAAGCCAGAGGGGAGTGCTGTCTACTGGCTTGTTCAGCTTGCTTTCTTATAGAACCCAGGACCACCAGCCCCAAGGGTGGTCCCACCCAGATCAATCACTAATTACTGGCTTGCCTACAGTCTCATCTTATAGAGGCATTTTCTCAGTTGAGATTCTCTCTTCTCAGATGACTCTAGCTTGTGTCAAGTTGACATAAAAGACTGGCCAAGATACATAGGCAAAATCCAGTTTCCTGCCTACTGCAGCAATGTCTATAGTACACTGGTGCTTGACAACCTGCTAATATGCCTTCAGGTTTCTGCTCCTCTGCACGCAGTAGGAGGAGCTCTTACAAAGACGCTATCAGGAGGTAGACCGAGGGGACCTCACTAGCTCTTTCCAAGCAGATCATGTGAAAAGAGGGATCATGGAGACAAACTTAAATTGGTCACTTGGCAGGGTGTGTGCAGAGATAAGCGTGGCAGGAACGAACTTTCTGTGTCACCTCATATAGCCCCCTTACTGCCAGTATTGGGGCTTGAACTCAGGGCCTTGTGCAAGCTGAGCAAATACTCTGCCACTGAGCCCTCATGGTTTCACTAAGTTCCCCAGGCTGGTCTCGAACTCCCTCCATAGCAGAAGACTTGTAATCCTTCTTCTTCATCCTCCTGATTTTGTGTGTGTGTACTCATGAGTTCGAAAGTATGTTAATATTTTTGAGGCTTGTGGCCCAGGTTGGCCTTTAATTCACAGCAATTCTCCTGCCTCAGACTCCCAAATTGTGGTTACAGGCATGAGCCATCACACGTGGCTTTCTTCTTTTTATTTAGGTTTCATAGCTAAACATTTCCTCAGCACAGCTATTAACTGCATTCCCTAAGTTTTGTTCAATTGCATTTTCATTTATCTCCTCTTCTAACCATTTAGTACCATGGGTGTTGCCACGTTTTTGTGAAATTTCCAGTTTTCCTTATGTTACCCATTTCATTTCACTGTGGCTGAAGAAGATATTCTGCACATATTTATCTTTTGAATCTGTTAAGACTCATTTTATGCTGGGCATATGGTTCAGTGGTTAAGAGTACTGCCCGATTTTCCAGAGGACCCAGGTTCAATTCCCAGCACCCAAAAAGGCTGTTCAAAACTGTATGTAGCTCCAGTTTCAGGGGATCTGATGCCCTCTTCTGGTCTCTCTGAGCACCAGGCATGCAAGCAGTGCACAGCCATACATGTAGATAAAAAACAAAAATAAATCCCTACCGGAAAAAAAAGACTCATTTTACTGGATATGGTATTGCATACCTGTAATCCTATTAGGAGGCTGAGGAAGGAGGACTGAGTTTGACTGGCCTTTGGCCTTAAAAATAAACAAAAATTCACATTCTGTATCCTCACAAAATGGTCTGTCTTTATCCCCGCTTCCTCCAATATTCTTACAGTGAGGTTTTGATTCCCTTATCATTTCCTCTGATGTATATTCTAGAGCTAATTTATCTTGTTTCTGTAGGAATTACATGCATCATACCAAAGCTGTAACAATACAGTCTGAATCTGCCACAAATAATTTCCTCATACACCATATGGCAGGTAACAGAGTGTATTTGTCTTTCAAAACATATAGGAAAAGCAGAGTTGCAAATCAAAATGTTATTTTCCTATAAAGAAAAAGAAAGAGATGGCATGCCTACCTAAAAAGATGACAGGAGGATACAGCTGAGGCCTTGGGACTCACAGGGCTGTTTGGGCAATAGAATAGGACCTTGTTTAAAAAAAAAGAAAAGAAAGAAAGAAACAAAGAAAAGAAGAAGGAAAAGAAAAAAGTAAAGTATGGGTAAAAACCATATTTTTATTTTAAATTGATATGTGGAAATTCTACCACAAGACTTGACTGGAAAACAACATAAGTGATATTCTCATTGGCAAAGCTCTGCACACTGGTATTTTAAATGAGATACCTATCCTACCAATACAATGGCTTATTTAAGCTTGTGAATGACACATTTTATTGACAAGTCAGAATACTGAGTCTGTGAGGGAAAAGAGCCTTCATAGAAACACAGTTTCAGTCTAAGATCAGAAACTACTTCAAAGTTACACAAGTAAATAGCAAAGAAACAACTTCTAGAGGCAGCAATATTTCAAAGTAGCAAACATGAGAAGGACAGGAAAAAGTATCAGAGGGAAATACTGGAGGAGCAGAAAAGCCATTTCCACATCTAGGCATTAAAGTCATAGCAGCTACAAGACCGGCAGACACAGTACGCACAAGTCCTTCAGGAGCAGAAGGAGCCGAACAAATACAAATTGTTCAAATGTGGGCACTATATACCTTTCTGGTAACAATTGAGAATTTCAAGGTGAGACCCAAGAGCTTTGCATAGCACACTTGGGACAGTGGTCTGGGTAATTCCCAGTGTGAAGGTGAAAATGAGCATTTTTAGAGGCTTACTACAAATTTAAAGACAGCAGCACTGGCAAGATAGATCTCCCAGGGGTCAGGAGTGCTTGCATCTCCCAAGGGAACCAAGTGTCCCCAGAGATACAGCGTGGCTGTAAGGACCCTGCACACAGTGACCCTCATTCCCCAGTGGAGACAGATAATAACTTCAAAGGTTAAAGCGGGAGGACCTTACTTCTAGGCCTAACCCAGTGTGCTTCTGTAAAAAAATTTATTTTACTTTTTTTTATTTCATCTTTATGAGTGTTTTGCCTGCGTGCATGTCTGTGCATCACTTGTGTGCCTGGAGCCCACAGAGGCCAAAAGACTTTAGGTCCCTTGGAACTGGAGTTACAGGCAGCTGTAAGCTATCATGTGTGTGCTGGGAATCACACCTGGGTTCTCTGGAAGAACCGCTGGGCGCTGTTCTTAACTGTCCAGCCATTTCACCTCTAAGCAGAACCAACTTTCCCACAAGCAAGAAAGACTTTAGTTTTGTTTTTCTTTTCCTATCCAAACACTTGTGAGGACCAAGAAAAGAAAAGAAATAGTTGGACTACTGAATTGTTAGAATTTCTAATGAAAGAGTAATTTCTGACAGACTGTATGTATGTGTGATGGTCTGAATGAGAATGACCCACATAAGCTAATATGTTTGAATGCTTGGTCTTCAGTTGGTGGAAAGGATTAGGTGTGGCCATGCTAGGGGAGGTGTGGCCTTGCTGGAGGAGGTGTGTCAATGGGGGTGGGCTTTGAATTTTCAAAATCCTGAGCCATTCCCATGTAGCAAGTCCTCATTAGCCTGCCTGCCACCATGTTCCCTGACATGATGGCCATGGGCTCTACACTCTGGAACCTTGAGCCCCAAATTAAATGCATCGTTTTGTAAGTTTCTTTGGTCATGGTGTCTTTTCACAGTAACAGAAATAAGTAAGACTCCATGATTTCAAAGACTAACGATTTGGGAAAACATTTCTACAATTTAAGAATAAGAAAAAAATTGGAGCCCAGCTAAGATCAGGGAGCATATGTCATGCTAGTGATGAGGGTTTCTGGGTCATGGGGTCAGAAGCATCCTCTGAAAACAAACCAGTGGACATTTTTTACAGTCCATGGGGGAGAAACCTCTGAAAAGTAATTCTTCCTTCATGGAAGTATGGTTCCAGCTGCCATCTCTCTCCTCACTGGTGAGGCTAGGTGATATCACTCTGAAAGAGGGAAGAACCTGGGCAACGCATCTTCTTCCCACACTTCCTGCAAGAAGCAGACACAGGTTGAATTAAGTTGGTGGACCCCAGTGGGAAGCTGCCACTTGTGATGTATTCACCACTTGACCCTCAGCTGTAAAGACAGCATCTCCTGATTCACTTTAAGATGCCGTCGAGGACTTTACCTTCGAGACATCTAGTATCTTCTCCACTGGTCGTGCTCATACTGTCTGCCTCCTGCACCAGACAGAAAAAAACAAAACAAAACAAAAAAGTAAGAAGAGCTGTTTCCAGGCACTAAATGAAGGAAGTGGCGAGGTTCTAAGTATACACAAAGACAGAGTGCTGACTTGTACTGGAAGACAGAACATTTTTCAGTTGTGACCACCTGTCATTAAATTTCATTCTATAATTATTCCATTAAAGTGGAAGCAATTAATTAGGAGGTAGTGCTATTAGGAGAAGGAAACTGTCAAAATTGTTTCTCTTGGTGCCAGTTCTAACCATCTGCAGGACATCTAGATGTTTATTGCCGCTAATGACTTTGGAAATGGAAATTCATCTGCAGATGGCTCTGGGAGGACTTCCTGCCAAGCACAGAAAAAGCCACGTGTGGCTTTTCCAGGGCTGAGCACACAAGCCCCCCAACCCCACATTGTAGCTGGCCACTTCCTGCCTCTGACAGACACGGGGGTGTTGGGAAGGGACTTGGAGCAGAGCTAGCCTTGAAGAAAACTGGCAGTTCCCACAGCTTAAGAACAACCCTGTTTGGTTGGGCATGGTGGAACTCAGGACTCAGGTGGCTCTCTGGGAGTTTCAGGCAAGATAATGCCACATAGTGAGACTCTTTCTCAACAACAACATACTTTTCTGCAAGTCTTGCTCTTGGCTTTGTTTGGTACATGAAAGCAATAGCTTTAACATGCCCTGCTTAATGACCCCTAAAGTGTGAGGGTGATGGTCCTAACAGGTGTCCAGATTAATACGACCTTCACCACCCTTGTCATCTCTGCTTCCACTCCTGTTGTCTCCTAGTGTGTAGGCCCCTCTTAGTCACCATGAGAAGGGGCAAAGTGAAGAATCTCACCTAACTTTACAGCTCCTTAATGGAATTTAACACGTTTTCCCTCTCCAGCTGGGCTGAATAATAGCAAGGGAGAGGTCAAAACTTCAGCTCTGGTAGCCATTTGGTCCCAGGGTGGCTGGGATGGGCCCCAGACTTTGATGATGACTACCTATGAGGTGCACCCCACCCCTATCTGCCAGGCTGCAGTCACTGAAGTGACTCTGAGAACTCAGTTGCCACAGGACCACATTAATGCATTTAGGTCCAGACTCTGAAAATGTGTCAACTGTGCTAAAATTGAACACTGCCATTTTGAACTTAAAGCATTTCGAGTCTTTTCTAGCATGAAGAATTTTGTCTATTTTTGCTAATCTTGAAATATAACAACTTTCTACTTTATATGTTGAAGAAATACAAAAGTATTTAAGACAGGAAAAAAATTCGTGACAGAAATGTGCTGGCCCCAAATACAACCTCAGTAATTTCACAGAAAAAGTGGATTGCCTGATCTGTAAAGCAACAACAAAAATTCCAATTAAGGACCAACTATGTGAAAGTTGATGTTGTACACAACTCGGAGGAGCAGCTGCTGGTGGCCTGTGGACTTTTCTTCTACATGGGCAAGGTGCCAAAGAAGCACTGTGCTTGCTCACATACCACCCCTAGCTGCTTCCAGAGTCACCTCTGGCCACTTAGCTTGATATCAACCCAGCACTAGGCCATTCATATTGGCCTTTTGGTATCAGGTCCCTAAAACTTTTCCTAGCCCAACCTTCACAATCAAGACTGTGACTATGTTTCCATTATAAACCACCCCAATAAAGAAGAGCTGCCATTCAAAGTCCCAAGTCTCAAACCAGGGCACAATGTCTACACAGTTTTTAGACTTTAATTAATATGACCAATATCATGTTTCTTTTTTCAAGGGACCATGACAACAGGGCAAATGGGCTTCTCTGGTCTTAAAGCTAGATAATACACGTGCCACTTAAGACTCCCAGCATTTGGGAGGCAGAGACAGGTGGATCTCTGTGAGTTCAAGGCCAGCCTGGTCTACAAGACCTAGGGGTGAGGAAATGCAGCTGTTACAGTCCTAAGAGCTGCAGGCGAGGTTACTAAGACCCAGGCTTCCCAGAGAAGACTGGTGTGGGCCTGGTTCTATGGCACCTCTGTAAATAGCACCTTCCCACCTTCCCTTCTCACCTGCAGGAGTTACACTCATTCACCAATGATGAACCAAAGAATCACAGCACCGCAGAGCTATAGGAACACAGGCTTATTGATGTAGCTGCCTGATAGAGAACAAGGAGCCAGGATAGTCACCTGAGACAGTCTGAGTGTAGAGATTTGGCAACACTGGAAGTGCTCTCCTGCAGCTGGTGGGGGTGCTAGCCTCCCTAGAGAACGACATCTGTACAGGTGTCATCTGGCCTAGCATCAAGATTCTGCACATGTGAATGGGACAATGGCAAGCCAAACAGGACAAAAGGAAGCCATCACCTTCCTTGGCATACCAGATAAAGTAGGCTGCTGCTGCTGCCAGGGAGAGGCAGGTTGAGGAAAACAGTGAATTCTTTAGAGGAAGAACTATAAGTGGAGACCAGCTGCCTCAAGGAGGGACCATTAGCTCTTCCCCCAGGCCAAGAAATGCAAGGAGCCAAAGCCTCAAGAGCATTAGCTTGGTTTTCAGCCAGGTGCCTTGTGTCAGGATCCAGGCTGCTTACACATTTCAGGCTGGGGCATGCAGACAGCTACACCTAGACTCTATCTAACCCAAGTGGCTAAAGCCATTGCCAGTGTCATAGTCAGCTTTACAGAGAAGGCCTATAGGCTTTCATTACTTTTGGTGGTCTTTGGCCTGGAGAGACATCTATCTAGTCAGACCTCTAACCCTCCCTTGCCAGTATTCTGGACAAACATCTATTTGGGTCAGCTCAGAGTCATGGGCCAGCTGGTAGTGGGGCAGGGAGCCCTGGACACAGGCTGTGATGGAGAGCTCCAGAGGAACTTCTAGGGCCACCATAGGCCCTAGAAGGCAGTCACTGGCAGGAGTGGTGGAGTACTCTGTAGAAGTTCAGCTAGATCAAGTAGCCCAAAGCCAACCGAAGTCTACTTGAAGCTGCGTCTCTTTCTCCAGGGAGGAGCCTTTCAAAGATGCCCACGGGGAACTGGATTATTCTAAACTGTATAGCAGCTTCAAAGTTTGCTCAATACCCACACTCAAGAAGATAAAAGCCTTGACACTGTACATGTGTGCTGTCTACAGCCTGGCCACTGAACATGCATGCTGTCTACAGCCTTGGCACTTTACATGTGTGCTGTCTACAGCCTGGGTACTATACACGTGTGCTGTCTACAACCTGGGCACTGAACATGCGTGCTGTCTACAGCATGAGGAGAGTCCTTCCTCTCAGAAGCATCGCAAAAATGGCCTGAGCCTGCTTCGCCCAGGACTGCTAAAAGTGCTACTGCATTGGTACTAAAGAGTTGCTGTGCCTTAGACAGTAATCTAAACAACATGCAAATCTGCCACATCCAGTTTACAAAAGTAAAAACAACATTTGAGTATGTTTCTATAAGAGGATAAAACCACAAGTCTTAGGTAATTTCAATCTATGAAGTTTATCTCTGAAACCTAAAAGGAATTTGAATTCAAATACCGATGAGAGGTTCTCTATATCGTTAAGTACAAATAATTGCATATCAAATTAAGTATAGTGTGATTATCAATGCACCCATATGACATAAGAAGCTGCATTTCTAACATTATAAATGTAATCCACAATATGGAAGATAGCAGAACACTCCTATTTGAACCCTCTATTAGCAACCTTTAGAAAAGCCTTTGAGTCAGTTATAAAAATTGGGTCTTCAAGAGATGAATGAATTGGTAGAAAATAAAGCAGTAAGAAGCAGACATATCACCATAAAGCAAGATTATTATCATTGGTCTCTATTCTGTTAAACGAAGGATTAGGTATGCCAACACATTGATACGTCTTTTAATCGCAAATATACAACTTGTTTTCAAACACAGGAAATGGGTTTCAGCACAAACACAGCATAAAGGAAGGCAGCACCTGTGAGCAGTGGATGGCTGGCATGGGAGCCTCTTACCTGGGCCCTGATCTCTCCATGGCTGCCCTTGCCCAGGATGGCCATGTGTGGAGCCTGTCCTGTGGGAGCTGGAGCCCTGTCTCCCCAGCCTCCCTGTGGGAACATGGTCAACACATCAGCACACTGTCCCTCTTTCTGTGTTACACTTAATAGTACAGTAAGTGATACCAGGCCAGTAACCCTTCAGTGTGCTCACAGCAGCAGAATGGGATGAGGACTACAGACAGAAGCCTCAGAAGAGGTGTAGGCAATCTGTACTGGAAGCCAAGTGGGAGCTTATGACCAGTACTAAGAATTATCTCACCACGTGTCTTTAAAATGGAGTCTTGTTGCTTACCCAGACTGTGCCCCAGAGGCAACAACGGTAAAAGCTATTTCCCCCAACAAGGAGGCCCACCTCCAGTCTCTTCAGGTAGCACCATATGGATGATTTCCCCTTGAGCATATTACTGGGATGTGGTGAGCTCCTCCACACTTCCCACAAATGCATTAACACATTCTTTTTATACTCTGATGTCTCCCTTGTATCACTAATGCCCACTAATTACATATGATCTTGTAACTTTTAAGGTATCTTTATTTTGCATGCTCCACAGAAAGGGAGCGAGTTCCTACTACAAGTGCCAACCACAGACTCTGGGGTGTGTCTGCTAGGCAGTGTGGCATTTGGCCAGGAACCCCCAAGTACAACATATGTATGACAGGACCTTCAGAGACCAAACTCCTCTTCTGTTTGGAGCCACTATGAACAAAAAGGACAAGGACCCAAGCAATACACCCACACTACTAGATTCACCCACCAGTGAGGGAGAAAGACCAAAGCATGGCCTATGGGATGCCCAAGACACTGCAAGGGTACAGGCACTTCCCCCAGGGCCACCTCTCATCTGGGGCCCAGGACAATCCCTGGGCCAACCATCTCCTGATCTCATTTTTCTCCACTGCCAAAGTAGCTGTTATCATAAGAGTACATTTCTGGTAACACTACTTCAAAACCTTCCAAAGTTCCTCAATTTGTAATGGGTACAGACATCAACTCTTCTAAGTTTAGCAT